TGTGGGTATGTGAATATTTTTTGTGCTCGACATGGCACCTGCAAAGGAGGCTGGATGGTAGGAAGTGGGAAATTGAGCCGAGTAAAAATCTCTGGCTTGCTTAATTGTGCACTTGCGTTGTGTTTTTTGTTTTAAAATTTCTTTTTGCTGCAAGAATTTCGGACATTTATTGAAATTCGAAGGATGACCATCGTCGCAGTTTGCACATTTTGTGCGCACGCAATCTAAGTTTGGGTGTGGAGGGAAACTGCAAGTCTCGCAAATGGGATCATTTTTACAAAATTTTTTAGTGTGCCCCAAGCGCTGGCATGCTTTGCAGCGCATTGGGTTCGGGAAGTATTCCCTAACCTTTACCTTGTGCCAAGAGATGTTGATTGTATCTGGAATTCTAAAGGAGTCGAATGTGAGTAGAATAACTCCGGTCGGAGTCGCTTTGTTGTCGATTGTCCGAGTGAATTTGTAAACATTTACAACCCCCTCAGATTCTAATTCTTTTGCGATTTCCTCGTCGGGTAGAGATTTGAGGTACGGGGCAAATACCGTCCCTTTTACAAAATTTAGATTTTCATGATATTTGTATCTGATTTCGCATAGTCCTAGTAGTTGTTTGGAGGCAATGAATTTTTCCGCCGTGTATTTGTCTTTGACTAAGAGGAGTAGGTTACCATCTCTGAGCTCAGAAATTTTTTCTACATCCTTGCTTATCAGATTTAAAGACCTTTGCACCGCGAAGCACGAATAATGTGATAGAGGTTTCTGATCATTGGTGGATGACACAACAACGTATTTAGGGTTGGGTATTGATCTGCTTATATCGGCTAGTTCGGGAAATTCACAAAACGTTTTCATAGGGCGTTTCTTTTTACGTTTGGGACTGGACGCCAAAGCAGCGAACCTATTGTCCCCAGGGTTATACGCCCCAGAGGGCATTGTCAAGGTTGAATTTCACTTTCCAATCAACCACGTGGGTAGCTTTCAGGCGAATATGAAAAGGGAAAAACTAAAACGCAAGGTAATAGTTGTTGTAAATTATAACTGCACCAAGAATAAACACAAAGCGAACGCTATAGTAACACAATCGTTTGCCACGAATGTTAGCCGACGACTTGATTAGCATTATATTTTTAAGAATTAATGCATTGAAATTTCTATTTGCATTACATTTCAAAAATTAATGCATAAATATTTTACATTAACATTAGTGCTTTAAATACCATTATGCATTAAAAAATAAATGCATTTTTCACAACTCTGGTGTATAGTGCTCTTGACGCATTGCTGCACTTGCCGTCACTTTGTGTCGTCATAGGGGGAAGCCTTAAAGGCCAGCTGCAGACTAAAAAGAAACGGATGTTGGTGTTACACTGAGTGGAGCGAGGCGGAAATTACTGGTGGCAGAGATTTGAACACTTCTGTCTTTTCAATGCCACAGATAGTAAGCCACCATTACCTTTGTTGAAGAGATTCTATAATCTTGAGTTCCCTGAAGCTGAATGCTGGTTTATTTCCAGCACTGAGCCTTGACTCACACATAGTCGAATCTTCACTGATGGCTCCAAAATTGACTCTGGGTCAGGATCTGGGGTATTTTTCGAAGTTAATGGGGATAAGTTTCACTTTTCTCTTGGGGCACATGCTTCGGTCTTCCAGGCTGAGGTAATGTCTACAGTGATATTCAAGCTAAGCTGCAAGACATTGGCCAGCCCTCTATTTAGGTACTTCCTAACTAGTTCGGCAATGCAAGTCTAAACTAAATTATGTTGGTAAACATAACGAGCTTGCTTTACTCTTGGTGGCAGGTCACTCCGGAGTACCTGGTAATGAGACATCTAACCATTTGGCCACAGTTGGCTTAGACCAGACATTCGATCCGCAACCAGTTATAGCACTCCCCACTTTGGTCATCGAACTACCATCAGAAACTGGGTGAATACCTCGCTCAGCAATGACTAGGAGGTATCGAGCGGATGCAGACTGGATAAATTCATGTTGCCTTCAATCTGAGAAGGTATATCTAGTTGTTTGCTCTCACTGAGCAGACGGGACTTCAGACTTGTTGGGTTGCTGACTGGTCACTTCAAGTGATAGGCCTGACTGTGATAGGCGTCGTTCCCACGACAGTCGAGCCAAGGACTGTCACTGCAGCAACACTCCCCAAAAACTCTTTGGGGAGCTTGTATGCTGCTACAACAACAACAACTGTGATAGGCGTATATGATAACTCCATTTGCCCATTCTGCCTTGCAGAGGATGAGACGGTGGAACACTTTTCGTGCTTCTTGCCGACTTGGTTGTTTGTCATCGATTTCTCTAGATTCGGTCTTTTCTCTATTGCCACTTTCGAAATTAAAATTATGGCGTAAATAGATTTGCGGTTTTTTGTTTCAAGTTTTGTGTTTTAAAAATGTGAGTGATAAATATTTTTCGCATCACTTTAAAACTCAGAGTGATAAAGTAAAAGTGAAAGTACATAACGTCAATTGCGTCGCCGTCACCGTCACCGGCAGTTGTCAAAAAAGCTGATTCGGTGTATTTGTATGAAGTAAGTTACATGAACAAGCTCATTCCCACGACAGCCGGTTCTACGTACCGGAATGAATCGGGTTTTACCCGACCAAGGGCTGTTGTTTCGGCGATCTAACCCCGTTTAGGTCGGCGAAGTATCTCTGAAGCTGTTCGTCCATAGGGCTACATTCGCTACGTTTTCTTCTACTCAGGGCTGGCATCGAGTCAAACCCAGGGCCAGAAACCTACACCTGCTGTGTATGCCAGAGACGACTACACCACAACTCCACCTCTCAAGTGCAATGCTTGCGAGGGGTGGAGTCACCTCAGAGTCTGCTTAGGACTACGGACACATCGGCAGTGGACCACGTCTTTTGTGGCCACAGAGCAGCCTCCACGGCTAACCCCAGTCCACCTGAGCAGTCCCACACAAACACCACAGCACAACATACAATTGGACCTAAAATATCAACTATGGTTTGAAACTGGAAATTCTTGTCTAGTAGACGTTCCTCTAACAGTCGGACCCACGACATTAGTGATCGAATACACCTCGATTTGCCAATTGGAAACCTTTAAATAAAATAAAAAGTATTGGTTTGCAAAAACTGAATATTCTTGCTTATTATATTCAAATTTTTTGGTTCCATAAATTTCTTTAGAAATCGTTCGCCTAAGTTAAATCCATATGTATAGACACTTATTTAGTCTGGGTGGTCTTCTTAGGTTTGGCTTGTGTGCCTTCACGGAAACCGTTGCGGAAACGGCGTCGGACCACTTTCAGGTAACGCATGCGGCCAGTGCCAGTGGTCTTCCTCCTCTTAGCTTTCACTGACCAGTTGTCTGAAAAAACAAAACAGAAAGAAATACAATAAAATAAAGACATATACATCCTAATGGTCTGCATCGGAATTCAGTTTGCTTCACTGTGAAGTTTTCTTCAAATATTTAAACTACTCATTCTCTAACAAAAAAGGTATGGAAAGTGAAGATATTGAGCGCTGTATACATAAAAAAAGTACTCAAACAAATTATGTTCCGAAAAAAATAGGAACATAAATCAGCAGTACCATGCTGTCAAACTTCCACAAAAAGATGAAATTCACAAAGTGGATTTTTGGAAATTTAAAAATTTATACAAAACAAAGAACGTTTGTGAAATCTATAAGAAGAGACAACACGTTATAATTGTAACGAGTGAGAACATAAGGAGCGTGCTTTCTCTTTTGCCCAAATACGTTTTGTGATTGGATGAAAAGAGAAGGCACGCTCCTGATGTTCACACTCGCTGCAATTATAACGTGTTGTCTCCTCTTAGAAATTCCTATCTTCTGAGTATTTCGACCAGACGGAACCGAGATAATTTGCAATGTCTACCGATGCACAGATGGACCCACTACCTGTGTCTAATACTTTAACTGAAGTAGGTGCATGGGTACCCGAAAGCCTTTTTAAGTTGGTCCAGATATCTCTGGGGTTGCAATCAGGGGTAATAGAGCTGGTCAAGTCTTCTAAGCTTTGTCTTTTAGCCTCTTTAAGTTTCTTTTTGAAGAAGGCGTTGGCTTTTTTGTATTCCACTAGATTAGTGAGCGAGCGATGTTTCTTAAAATTGTGCCATAACAGTTGTTTCTTATCCCGTAAACTACCCAGTTGTGGTGACCAATACGGAATTAGAGCTTTTTGAATTTTGTGATGAGTTTGAGGGATCGACAGATGGGCCGCTGTGCGGATGGTTTTTGTCAAGTTTTTCGCTTCTTTGTTAACGTTGGGGGACTGCGGATATTTTGTTAAGGTATCGTTTGCAATACGTTGGAACAATGTCCAGTTCGCTTTTTGTATGATAAATTTGGGCTTAGGAGCCCCTGGGTTCGACGTCGCGGTAACGAGACTACTGAGAAGGTAAAAATGGTCGCTTCCATGGAGTTCATGGGAGGTTTCGCATGTAAGCTTTGGGGCCAGACTCGTTGAACACATACATACATCTACATGCGTAAAAGTTTGATGTGTTGAAGGGGATGTGTGTTTCCTGGATGGAAACTATAGAGGGAGATAACTCTTTTAATTAAAAGTTTTAGTTCGTTAAAGTTGTTATGTAGTCCATGTATGTTCCATTGGAGTATCTTAAAGGTCATCACGCTGCAAAGCACTCCTGACCATTCTCTCGTCTGATCGTTCGTTGTCCGAGTCTATTTCCAGTTGAGTCGAAGTGAAATAACGATTTGATCTTAGGAGATCTTGAGTAAGGGTGGAGATGGGAGATGAAATTACGGAATTGTGCGTTTGTATGGGTTGCGTTGGATTAGCGAAGTTTGAAGACGTTATTGTTTGCTTATTACATGATGTAAGTTGATTGGGAGGGAGAGATAGGGATTCGCCATAAGTGTCTATTATGCTGCTAGGTTTGTCGTTGTTGTTTGAAATTTTTAAGATATTGTGGTCAGTGGTACTATGATTTTGGTGAAGTAGTGAATCGTTTTTAGGTGCTTCTGTGTCTATTATTGTGGGTATGTGAATATTTTTTGTGCTCGACATGGCACCTGCAAAGGAGGCTGGATGGTAGGAAGTGGGAAATTGAGCCGAGTAAAAATCTCTGGCTTGCTTAATTGTGCACTTGCGTTGTGTTTTTTGTTTTAAAATTTCTTTTTGCTGCAAGAATTTCGGACATTTATTGAAATTCGAAGGATGACCATCGTCGCAGTTTGCACATTTTGTGCGCACGCAATCTAAGTTTGGGTGTGGAGGGAAACTGCAAGTCTCGCAAATGGGATAATTTTTACAAAATTTTTTAGTGTGCCCCAAGCGCTGGCATGCTTTGCAGCGCATTGGGTTCGGGAAGTATTCCCTAACCTTTACCTTGTGCCAAGAGATGTTGATTGTATCTGGAATTCTAAAGGAGTCGAATGTGAGTAGAATAACTCCGGTCGGAGTCGCTTTGTTGTCGATTGTCCGAATGCTCTGCAAGCAGTTTCTCGTTGGGAGCCACAGATGTGGCCACCCAAATAGACAGCTGCTTGCAGAGGAGCCCGCGCCAAGGCACGTCAGGAGGCATCTATATGAACTGACGGACGAAGTCCAGAGGTTCATTAAGCAGCCTCTGGACCCGTCAGCTTACAGACAGGCCCTGAACGGCATTCACAGGGACTTCGTCTCGAGTTATGTAGACTCTAGACCTGTGAATGCCGTTCTAGGCACACAAACACCGGACATTGACGCGACGGAGCTCCATCTGCCTCGGGAGACCAGAACAACAATAGCCCAACTTCGCTCTGGCTACTGCAGCAGGCTAAACTCCTACCTGAGTAGGCTAAATGCGGATGTGCCGAATGAATGTCCGGCATGCGGAGAGACCCCTCACGACTCGAAACATCTCTTCGCATGCCCGGAAAACCCCACAACCCTAACGGATCGTCCCTGTGGGCCGACCCCATAGAGGCTGCACGCTTCTTGGGGCTGCCGTTAGTGGAACTCGACGACAACGACTGAGACATCAACCGATCTAGGCGGGGTTGTTGTAGCAGCTACAACAACAACAACAACAAGCTGGCGGTGGCGGTGCCGCACAAATTACCTCAACTCTCAATTTTGCTTATGCGATTGCGTCAAATGACAACTATTCAGTGTTTTGTTTACATGTTTGAAAGTAAATTTCTCCAGTTTGTGAAAATATTAATATTTATGGAAAAACGAAATGTCAAAAATAATGGAGGAAAAAACCTAATAGAAGTGAAAAAGTAAAATGAAAATTTTCCAAAGAGTATCAGCGAGTTAATGATTTTTCGGGCGCAATGTCAAACGAATTGTGTGTAACTTGACGTGCTTATGCGTCGTTGACGGTGATGGTGACGGTGGCGGTGACGGTGACGCTGTCGCAATGGATGGTATGTACTTTCACTTTGAATGCCATCGACACAAATAAACTACTTTACTAATACGCCACATGCAAATTTATGAAGAAGTTTATGGTGAAGAAAATTTAAATAACGATAGCGCTCAGAGTGCTCTTAAAAAATTTAACTGCTCAGAGCTAGTTGATGGCTTTACGAGCTCTATATTTTAAAACTTGCAAGTGTGTAATCACATGTTTTTAATAAATAGAACACAAAAAAAAATTTATTTTATTTATTTATTTGTTTATTTGTTTTAGAACTCACCCGCGATGCAAATTTACACTGTTAGATATAATGTTAACATTTTTTGACGAGCTTTGGGAATATGTCAGAAATGTAGCAGCAGTTGGTCCCCCGAAACCAGTAAAGTTTTGAAAGGGGTCTACGAGGAAAAAGTTTGGGAACCTCTATTGTATGACATTGTTAGCTCACTGTTAATAACTTGCGCCTAGATGCATGCTACAGGTTCAGCGTTAACAATTGGATTTATTTTTCGTTAAAAACCAAAATAGAATTGGTTATAAAAGAAATTATTGAATTTTTTCGGCAATAGTTAAAAGTTAACGTTACAATACATCCCTGATTGATAGATATATGTATATCGTCATGACGATAGTCGAAAAACTCGTGACTATTTTTTTTCATGAAACGATGTGGGGAGTTGTAATTTGATGAGCAATCAAAAAGTGAATTTTGATTTTTTTATAAGTTACGACTTTTTGCATTTCAGTGACGATGATGTTACGTTATTTTGCAATTCAGGTGACGATATGAAAATGAAAATGAAGAAAAGTGTGTAGTAGCTGTACTAAAGCGTCCAAAAAACCGATCATTGGAGTATCCCAGAACAGGGGTTGTTGCTTCAGCAACATTCACCAAAACCTTATAGAATTTACAAAGGGTTGGCTTTCCAAAACGGAACCATTCGAGATTTCAGCGAAAGTATAAGCAATTTCGTCATGAAACTTGGTGAGGATGTTAGGAGAGGCCTTCTTTATCTGAATTGATCACTCTCACAATGTAGTTGCTAGTAGTATTTAAGCAATTTGTTGTTAAATTATCTCCACTTCTACCAACAAATTTTTTTACAAAATTCCACTTATCAGGTATATTTTTTGTGATATACTATATTTGCAATGTTCACGTGCTTATAAAAGTTAATAATTAATACGTTGTATTTTGTTTCAAAAACTATTCATAAATAATTTAAATACTTTTTTGAAAATAACTTTTTGAAATAAATTTTGAAAAGAACAAGGTAGGCTGTTACCTGAAATATTCGTTTTCAAAAGGCATTTAAGCAA